GCTCAAGGCTAGCGCTCTACCACTTGAGCCACAGCGCCACTTCCGGCTTTTTTCTTTTTTGCTTATGTGGTGCTGAGGAATCGAACCTAGGGCCTTAGGCATGCAAGGCAAGCGCTCTACCACTGAGCCACCTTCCCAGCCCCTCCTCACTTTTTTTATAGCATATTTCAATCAGTCTAAATCTCTCCCCCATCTCCTTTTTCCTTCCTAAGACAATTTAAACAAGTTTCATTTTATTTGAATTCAGTAAGCAATAATCTACTTTGACCATATTCATCCTCATTCATCCTTAATACACTTATTGCCTATCACTGTTTCCTTTACTTTGTTATCTTTGGTGTGTGTGTGCTGGTACTGTGGCTTGAACTCAGGGCTCTTGCTCTCACTTGGCTTTTTTATTCAAGAAAACATTCTACCGCTTGAGCCATACCACTAGAGCCATTTGATTATCATTATTTTTTTTAGTGTTGGGGTTTGAAGCTGGGCCCTTGTGCATGTTAATCACATGCTCTACCTCTGAGCAACATCCTTAGTCCTATTTTTTCCCTCTCTGTAGTATTACCAGAAAGGAGCAAAGGTGGTAATCTTTATTATTGTTGTTTTTGGTCAGTCATGGAGTTTGAACTCTGGGCCTGGGTGCAGTCCCTCAGCTCTTCAGATCAAGGTGAGTGCTCTACCACTTGAGCTACAGCATCACTTCCGGTTTTCTGATAGTTAATTGGAGATAAGAGTGTCACAGACTTTACTGACCTGGCTGGCTTTGAACCTAGATCCTCAGATCTCAGTCTCCTGAGTAGCTAGGATTAGAGACGTGGGCCACCAGCGCCCAGCTAAACGTGGTAATCTTTGTACACTTGAAAATGTCTTTTATTTTCATGTAAGAGGGATCTATTGAGCTGAGAAGGAAAGTCTGTGAGACTCTTATCTCCAATAAACCACCAGAAAACCAGAAGTGGTAGTGTGGCTCAAGTGGTAGAATACTAGCCTTGAGCTGAAGGGCTGAGTGACAGCACCCAGGCCCAGAGTTCAAGTCCCACAACTGACAAAAAAAATGATCTATTGGTCAGTTAGGGAATTTGACGTGCAACATGTTCCCTTTTCTTAGAAATTTTGTACAAGCTCAACATCCCTAACCCAATGCTCCAAAATTTGAAACTTAAAGTATCAGCATGGTGCCACAAATGGAAAATTCCACACTTTTAACTTTGGTCTCATGCACAAAATTACTGAGAATATTATATAAAATTACCTTCAGTTTATGTACATAAGGCGTATGTGTGAAACATAAATTCATCTCTTCAAGGTATCTCATTCTGTGTATATGACTATTCGAGAGTGTGAAAATATCCAAATCTGAACTTTTTTTTTTAATGCTGATACTGGGGTTTGAAATCATGGCTTAGTGCTCTTGCTTGATTTTTTCACTAAACGTAGGTGCTCTATTACTTGTGATTAAGAGTCACAGATTTTTGTTCCCAGGCTGGCTTTCAACCATGATCCTCAGATCTAAGCCTCTTGATAGCTAGGACTACAGGTGTGAGCCACCAGCCCCCGGCTAAAATCAGACATTTCTGATCCCAAGTATAAGGGGTAAGCGATTCAATTTGTAATGATTTTTCTTTTGTCTTTCAGAAGGCTGTTTGCTTTTCTTTTGTTGGAAGGTCTTGCCATGGAAGCTTATAATAAAATTTTTCTTTTTCTATGGAGTTCAGATCTCTAGAGAGGGTGTGAATTTGACTTTTTTTCTCTAAGGTTGCTTTGAACCTTAGTCCTTTCAACTAACCTTCCTGACTAGGTAGCATTACAGATGAGAGCCACTGGCATCCAGTCTTTCTCTCTTTCTGTCTCTCTCTGTCCTGTGCATTGAACCTCAGACCTCTCACATACTAGTCACATGGCCTGCCACTGAGCATTGTTCCCAGACCAATGTTGCTAATCTTTATCTTTCTTATCTGAAACCTCATTTATGTCTTCATTAATATAAAGGACCTATCATTTAGCAAAATCACTGCTTCTCCATTTGTACCTTTTTATTTTACTGATATTGAGCCTTAAACTCAGGGCCTCATATTCTCTCTCTTTTTTTTTTGGAGGTCATGGGGCTTGAACTCTGGGCCTGGGCACTGTCCCTCAGCTTTTCAGCTCAAGGCTAGTGATCAGCGCCACTTCCTGTTTTCTGGTGGTTTATTGGAGATAAGAGTTTCACGGACTTTCCTGTCCGGGCTGGTTTTGAACCACGATCCTCAGATCTCAGCCACCTGAGTAGGATTACAGGTGTGAGCCACCGGTGCCTGGCCCTCAAATTCCCTTGATTGGCTTTTTCACTCAAGGTTGGTGCTTTACCACCTGGTCCACACCTCCACTACTAGCATTTTGATGATTAGTTTGAGATGAGAATTGAATGGGCTTTTCTGCCTTGGCTGGCTTTTGACTTGGATCCTTGGATCACCTCCTGAGAACCTAGGATTATAAGCATGAGCTACTAGTGTCTGGCTCATTTGTACTGTTTTTTTTCTTTTTTGCTAGCACTCTACGACTTGAGCCACAGCACCACTTTTTGTACCTTTAGTTCTTGTTGTTTAGATATAATTAACTTTTCCATGTTTAAATGTTATGTTTTCATTCATAATTGTATTTCTTTGGCTTTTTATTCTAAGTATCTTGGTCTTCTAGTGTATTATTTTACTTAGCAGTGTCTGTTCTGTTTTTTTTTCTTTTCTGGTTTTTTTTTTTTACTACATCTATTGCACTTTTATTCAGTATAAATTTTGGGGTCTTTTATTTCCTCAGACCATACTGTACACATTCAGAATAACTTGTGTAGTAACAGACTATAGAAATGATCCCTGAAAGTACAGTTGTAATTTTTGGGGAATCTTCCACAGTTGAAGTATCTTCTTGAATTTCCTCAAGGATTTGTCACAATATTTAAGTTCTGTTTCCTATATTAACTTAGCATCAGTGTGAGCTACCCAATGTGTTTGTGCAGCCTGCCTTGTGTGTGTGTGTGTGTATGTGTGTATTCGAAACTGCTCTTGTATTTGTTGTGTGTATTCTGAGCTTCTATAACCCACCCCCCCAGGAATTTAGCCCCTTGAAGGTGGGAAGAATTAAGGGAAACTGTTCTTCTCAGAGGCCAGCTGTGAAGGGGATGACAGATGGGACTTTGAAGCCAGGAGTGGCCTCTTAAGTTCCTGGGCTTTGTTAAGGCATGATGGCATCTGAGGGAGGCAGCAGTTGAGCTGAGTAGGTCGTATGCTGTTGGAGGCAGTAAACTGAAACAGGTTCAACAGCAAGGGATTGTTCTTTCGTGTGTGTGTGTGTGTGTGTGTGTGTGTGTGTAACAATTATATACACTATATTAACATACTGGTATGTATTAATACATAATAGGCAGTATAGCTACAATTATACATATGAAATTATATCGATATAATTATATATCAATATAATTTTATATATGTATATCTCTAAGTATTTGTACTAAGGAGTTGCCATTCCATGAAGTAGTATATAAATATACTCCATCTTAATCAGTGTCACCCTTTTCATCATTCTCCCCCATCCCTCCCAACCCACCCCTTCCTTCAAGGGATAGTTCTTTCTGCACAAGCTGAGGTTTATCCCCAAGGTTTAGCTTCCTAGGATTTTGCACATCACCCTTCTGTTGCTGCTAGCTCCCTTACCTCATCTCTAGCCCTGAAACTGTTGAGATGCTGTAAGTAGACATTTGGGGCTCAGGGTAGAGCAGGAGACCCAAGCACTTATTCAGGCTACTCTGTAGAATTCTCTTCTGAATTGTTTTCATTTGCTTTGGAATAACTCTGTAAACATAAATATGAAGTACTTCCATTTGTGTCTCTTGTCTTGTGTTTGATACAGACAGACATGGTGTTTGAGGCATCCTAGGTTCTCATGGTGTGTCCTGACCTTGATTAGGTTGTTAATACACATTGGATAGGTAGATGATGACTCTTTGTTTTATTTTGCAGAAAATAAAAAGCCAGGTAAAGGGTCCAAAGTCTGTAAGAAGGTAAGTTGGCTCTACCTTCAGGTGATGTATGCCTATTCCTGGGGGACAGGCCAGCAGCTATGACTCTGGGAAGAATACCATATTAGAATGAACACAGCTGACTTTTTTTTGTGGGGGGAGAGAGTCAGCAGCATGTATTAATTTTTTTTTTTTGCCAGTCATGGTGCCTGAATTCTGGGCCTGGGCACTGTCCCTCAGCTCTTCAGCTCAAGGCTAGTTCTCTACCACTTGAGCCACAGCACCACTTCCAGATTTTTCTGCTTATGTGGTGCTGAGGAATCGAACCCAGGGCCTCATGATGCAAGGCAAGCACTCTACCACTGAGCCACCTTCCCAGCCCCATGTATTAAATTCGTACCAGACACATACACATACTGCTTTGTGCTTGATTTAACTTGGTAGGGACTTTTTTTATTCTAGTACTGGGGCTTGAACTCAGGGTCTGAGAACTTTCGCTTAGATTTTTTTTCACTTAAGGCTGGTGCTCTGCTACTTGAACCACAGCTCCATTTCTGGCTTTCTGCTGGTTAATTGGAGATAAGAGTTTCATAAACTTTCCTGCCTGGGCTGGCTTTGAGCCATGATCCTCATATTTCAGCCTCCTGAATAACTAGGATTGCAGGTATGGGCCACTGGCACCCAGCTGGTAGGGATTATCATCATCCTTATTTTTATTTTCTTTGCTGGAGATGGAATCCAGGCTTTGAACCGTGATCCTCAGATTTCAGCCTCCTGAGTAGCTAGGATTACAGGCATGAGCCACCAGTGCTCAGCTACAGCGATAATTTTTATTTTTTCTTTCTTTCTTTCTTTTTTTTTTGGTTGGTCATGGGGCGTGAACTCTGGGTCTGGGCACTGTCCCTCAGCTCTTCAACTCAAGGCTAGCGCTCTACCACTTGAGCCACAGCACCACTTCCAGCTTTTTCTGCTTATGTGGGGCTGAGAAATCGAACCCAGGGCTCCATGCATGCAAGGCAAACACTCTACCACTGAGCCACCTTCCCAGCCCTGGTAATTTTTATTTCTAACAAGTTTCCAATGTGTCCAAAGACGACATTTCAGGATCTATGTGTTAAGAAAGTATTTCCTGTCTCTCTGAAGCTTTCTCAGCCACCCTTGCATCCTGCCCTTCCCCTCCATGTACCCCCCACCCTTTCCTGGACTCTTTAGTCAGGTCCTACTTGGCTGGGGAGAACAGGCCTCTCTCTCCCTAGGACAGACAGCAGGGCCATTTTTGTCCACTCCTTCCTTCCCCTCTTCCCCCACAACTATACTTCTCTGGCAGCTTTAATCCCTGCTCTTTTGGCTCTAGGGAGATTTCCACAGGTTTATCAGCTCTGCTTGCTTTTCTTCTCTTGCATGGTAACCAGCCTGCAAAGCAAAATGGGAAGAAAGCAACCTCCAGAGGGTCCTCAGCCTTCCAGCTTGTTCATGGCAATGATCACACCAGTCGGGAGGCTGAGTTAAAGAAGAAGAGGGTAAGCCTTTTACCTTGGAAGCTGGGGAGGCTAGTTTGAATGCCAGGTCTGCAGAAGTGTTTGCTAGAAGAGTAGAGGCCAGAGTTGCTATGATACTGGAGGCTCTTTGTGAATGGTTGAAGTGAGGGGTGTCACCTTGATACTGGATTTAAGGGTCTCCATTTTGGGACATTTCCTCTCCCTTCCTCATTCATTGCATTGGATTATGCTTTCTTTGAGGCATAATTTTTAACTTTATCGTCTCATGCTCTTTTACCAACCTTTTCTAGTCTCTTTTGCTGTTCTTTCCTCTTCCTGTTTTTGCTTATTTGTTGAGGCAGTGCCTCATTATGTTGTTCAGTCAGGCCTTAAATTCTGGGCTCCAAGAATCCTTCTTACTCAGCCTCCTGAGTAACTGGGACTACAAATGTGCGCAACTACACCTGCCTCTTTCTGCTTTCAGAATGATGGCACATTCCAGGACCTTGGCTCTTTTTATGCATCTGATACTAAGTAGTTCCCTCTGCCTAAAATACATTCTCTCCATGCTTTATATACTACCCCCTATTTTTTGTGCTGGTACCGTGGCTTGAACTCAGGGATTTTTTTGCTTGGCTTTTTTGCTCAAAGCAGACTTTACAATTTGAGCCACACTTCTACTTCTGACTTTTCTTTTTGGTGCTGATCCTGGGGCTTGAACTCACTGTCCCTAAGTTTCTTTTGCTCAGGACTAACATTCTACCACCTGAGCCTCAGCTCCACTTCCAGCTTATTTTTTTGTAATTTTAGTGGAGATAAGAGTCTCACAGACTTTCCTGCCTGGGCTGGCTTGGAACTGTGATCCTCAGCTCTCAGTCTCCTGAGTAGCTAAGAGTACAGGTGTGAGCCACTAATGCCCAACTCTCAAATAGCTTTACACACACACACACACACGCACGCACACGCGCGCGCGCGCACACACACACACACACACACACAGTTTTTCCTTTTTGCTACTCTCCATCACTTCATCTGTCTGGCCTTTTCTTCTCAAATACTATCTTCTACTGTCCTGCTTGCTCCCCTCCCACCTTTGCTTTGTCCATGCCGTTTCTTCCACCTGTTACGGATCCCTTCTGCTGCAGACCCAGTCACCTATAGTCACAGTATGTTTACTTGTTAGGTTGAGGAGATGAGGGAGAAGCAGCAAGCAGCCCGGGAGCAAGAGAAACAGAGACACAGAACCATGGAGAGCTACTGTCAGGATGTCCTGAAACGCCAGGAGGAGTTTGAACGCAAGGTAAGAACAGCCTTTGGCCCTGGGTGGGAATGAATAGTGTGGGTTTACTGTTCCACTGAAGGAAAAGGAAGGTTGGTGTGGGAAGGCGGGGGAGAATGAGTGAAGAGAGGAAAGAAATCGGGGATCAGAGGAGGGAGGATGAGAGGGAGTCTTACCTATGACAGCACATTCCTGGAGAATGCTTTTCTCACGTTTGAACCCCAAAAATTGGAAAGTGGGTGGGAGAAGGGGGGCAGGAGAGCATGAAGGGATTGAGAGAGAGGCCTGTGTGAGAGTTTCAACTTCCTTCTGGGCCTTCTTGCTGCCTGCTGGCATCTGTTCTTGTCTTACACATAGAATATGCACCTGCCAGCTCAGGCTTGCTCCTCTGAATTCCAGTACAGATTTTGACTCCCCCATCCCATGCTTGCCATAGATTGTTTTTCTCACAACTCTTCTGTCACATCCCTCTCTTACATATAGGCCTGGGCACACTCAGCCTCTCCTCTGGCTGATGCTCGAATCTGCACATGCATACACACTGGCACATGCCAGAACCATGTGTGTCTGTCTACACTTGTTCTACTTCTCAATATTTTTGGTTCATCAAAATTACTTTTAGGTGGGCTGAGACTTAATGGCTTTCCCAGCCTTCTGTGCTTTTCAAAGCCAGGGTTTGCTCACTTTGTGTTTCTCTAATCTTTCTCTCTCCCTCTCCTTCTCCCTTTCTCTTCCTGCTCTCCCCCTTCCTCTTTCCCCTCACCCTCTCCCCCTTCCTCTCCTTCTCACTTTCCCTCACCCCTGCTCTCCTCTTCTCCCTCCCCCTTTCTCTCCTTCTTGCTCCATCTCCCCCCTCCCCTCCTTTACCCTCTCCTCCTGTTCCCACTCTCCTGACCCCACCCCCATTTTCTCCTTTCTCTTTTTTTCTCCTTTAGGAGGAAGTTTTGCAGGAATTAAATATGTTTCCTCAGCTGGATGATGAAGCAACACGAAAGGCTTATTACAAGGAATTCCGTAAGGTACAGGGACCCATTCCTTAAGGTCCTTTGTGAAAAGTAAAAGGTACTGATCTATTTCCGTCCTTCCTTCCTTCCTTCCTTCCTTCCTTCCTTCCTTCCTTCCTTCCTTCCTTCCTTCCTTCTTTCCTTTCTCCCTCCCTCCCTCCCTCCCTCCCTCCCTCCCTCCGTCTTTCTTTCTTTCTTTCTTTCTTTCTTTCTTTCTTTCTTTCTTTCTTTCTTTCTTTCTTCTGTGCTAGCACTTAGGTTTGAATCCAAGGCCTGGGTGCTGTCCTTTAGCTTTTTCTGCTCAAGGCTGGCACTCTGCCACTTGAGCCATACTTCCACTTTTGGCTTTTCTTTGCCAGGTCTGGGACTTGAACTCAGGGCCTGGGCACTGTTCCTGAGCTGTTTTTTGCTCAAGGCTAGCACTCTATCATTTGAGCCACAGTACCACTTGTGGCTTTTTCTGTTTATGTTATGTGGTACTGAGGAATTGAACCCAGGGCTTTATGCATGCTAGGCAAGCACTCTACCACTAAGCCACATTCCCAGCCCCAACTTCTGGCTTTTTGGTGGTTAATTGGAATTAAGAGTCTCACAGACTTTTCTGTCCTGGCTGGCTTTGAACAGTGATCCTCAGCTCTTAATTTCTGAGTAGCTAAGATTGTAGGCCTGAGCCAGCAGTGCCTGGCCCAATCAATTTTCATTTCTTCTTCCTTTCTGTTTTTTTTTCCCCTGACTGACCTTTTTCCCTTGATGACCTTTTCTTAGATGGGCTCAAGTGCTTGCTACATAGTCTATCTTCTGCCTCTCCCCTGTTCTTTGGCCTGCAGGTGGTAGAATACTCTGATGTGATTCTGGAAGTCCTGGATGCCAGAGACCCATTAGGCTGCCGGTGTTTCCAAATGGAGGAGACTGTCCTGCGGGCAGAAGGCAACAAGAAGCTTGTCTTGGTCTTGAACAAGATTGGTAGGTGTTGGGGCAGGATTGGGTAAGTTAAGGAAGAGATTAGACCTTCTTGAAAGACTAGCTTGGACCAGATAGTAAGGCCCAGCAACTTGAGGGTCCTAATTATACAAAGTAATAATTCTTGTTTGAGTTTTCAAAGGCAGGAATGTAATCTGAAGACACACAGATTGTAGCACAAAAGGAGGAGGGAGCTCAAACCTATTTTCTTTTTGGGCTCCTTTTCTTGATATTTTGAGCCATTCTGCAATTGCACAGTCAAAAAGAATACCCTTCCCCCAAACTGGAGACCAAAATTAGGGCAGAAAAGCATATGGGCTTGAAGGAGTCACTGAGGTTTGGGTCTCAGTCCACCTCTGCTATTCTCTTTGAGCTATTGGACAAGTCATGTCACTTCAAAGAGCTTCTAGTTCTGTAACTATGAAATGAACCATGAATGTCTGAGCCTTAGAGGTTTGTTGAATTAATGATAAAGTGCTTGGTACACAAAGCAGTTCATCAATGATAGCCATTCTTGTGATGATCTTGTGATTGTCTTTATTTATTTATTTTTGTGTTAGTCCTGGGGCTTGAACTCTGGGTCTGAGCACTGTTCCTAAGCCTTTTTTGCTCAAAGCTGATGTTCTGTCACTGAAACACAGCTCTATTTCCAGCTTTTTGGTAGTTAATTGGAGATAGACGTCTCACAGAACTTTCCTGCCTGGGCTGGCTTTGAACAGAGATTCTCAGATCTCAGGCTCCTAATTATCTAGGATTAGATGCATGAACCATCAGTACCCAAATGTCTTGTCTTTTTTTTTTTGGTGCTAGTACTAGGGTTTGAATTCAGGCCCTCACACTTTTGCTTGGCTTTTTTGCTCACGGCTTGTGCTCTTATCACTTGAGTCATACTTCCACTTCTGGCTCTTTGATGATTAATTGGTCATAAGAATCTCATGGAGAGGCTGGGAATGTGGTAAGCATGCTTGCCTCACATGCATGATGCCCTGGGTTTGATTCCCCTGTACCACATAGACAGAAAAAGAAAAGCAGGAAGTGGCGCTGTGGCTCAAGTGTTAGAGTGCTAGGAAGGTGGCTCAGTGGTAGAGTGCTTGCCTTGTATGCATGAGGCCCTGGGTTCAATTCCTTACTACATAAGCAGAAAAAGTCGGAAGTGGCGCTGTGGCTCAAGTGGTAGAGCGAAAAAAAAAAAAAAAAAAGCTCAGTGACAGTGCCCAGGCCCTGAGTTCAAGCCCCAGGACTGGCCCCTCCAAAAAAGAACCTCATGGATTTTTTCTGCTTGAGTTGACTTTGAACCTTGATCCTCAGATCTCAGCCTCCTAAAGACTTAGGATTTTACAGACTACAGCAATACATATCTGACTTATCTCTTCCCTCGCTTTTTTTTTTTTGGTTCCGGTCGTGGGGCCTGAACTCTGGGCCTGGGTGCCCCTCAGCTCTTCTGCTCAAGGCTAGCGCTCTACCACTTGAGCCACAGCACCACTTCCGGCTTTTTTCTTTTTTCTTACGTGGTGCTGAGGAATCGAACCCAGGGCCTCATGCTTGCAAGGCAAGCGCTCTACCACTGAGCCACCTTCCCAGCCCTTCCCTTGCTTTTTTGTTAAATGTGTTAATATGCACAATACAATTTTGTGTGAGTAAATTAAATTTAGCTCTGGATGAGAGTGACTCATGCCTGTGATGCTAACTACTTAGGAGGTTGAGATCTGAGGATTGCAATTCAAAGTCAGCCTGGAAAGACAAACTCAGGAGATTCATATCAGTTAACCACCAAAAAGTTGGAAGTGGCATTGTGGCTCAAGTGGTAGAGCACTAGCCTTGAGCACAAAAGTTTAGGGCCAGTGGCCACGCCCTAATTCAAGCCCTAGGAGTGGCACAAAAATCATTCAAATTCAGTCTAGATAGTATAATGAAATGAACAAACATTTGTCCAAAACTTATTGCTCAAATAAGACATGAGTTCACAAAAATATAGCAAACTTTACCAGCACCACCAAAAAATTTTCACCCTGTGATCCAGGTGAAACAAAATAGGTAGAGTTAGTTGGCTTTCAGGATGAGTTTGCTGATCTGTCATGGTACCACTGGATCTCCTCTCAAGGAAATACAGGTGCTAACTTAGACTTACAGAACTCATATGAAAAGTGCCAAGAGAATAAAATAGGAAGGTGCGTGTTGGTTGTTTGCACGGAGTAACATTACTGTCAAAATAGCCAGTGCCTTGTTGTCACCCTTATCAGAAGTTTTTCTTATGAACAAATATTTAGAAAATTGAAATGATTAAAATCAAAGGAGAGAAAGTCAAATGATTAAAGTCAGTAAAGAGAATTACTGTCCTGACATATCATTTCTTTAAAGGTATATTAATGTCTTTAGGTTTGGTAGGAAAACTAGAATGCAAAGGCAATTGACTACATGGTAATTCCTAGAAAGATGTTGCAATTTGACATTTTGTAAGACTTGAATTTTCATTTCTAGCATGGAAAAGTATGCATTGCTACTGACATAATTGCCCATTACAGTCCTATAATGATCAAACATCATGTGATCAAACATATGCTTCCATGTCAGAAATGAATTAGTGATTTAAGTCCTATATCTAGAAATCATTAACTGGAAGATTTTGGATACATTTATTAACCTCTCTGAATGTTAGGCTTTTTTTTTTAAGGTACTGGGGTTTGAATTTAGGGGCTTGCTTTTGTAGGTAAGTGTTCTATCATTTTTCAGGCTCCAGACCAAGTGTTAATTTTACTATTTGTGTGGTCTTTTTTATTGTGCCAGTACTGGGGCTTTAATTCATGGCCTGGGTGCCCTCCTTTATCTTTTTTTGCTTAAGGCTAGTGCTCTACCACTTAGGCCACAGCTTCACTTCAGGTTTTTGGGTTTTGGGTTTTTTTTTTTGTTCAGTCATAGGGCCTCAGCTCTTTAGTGCAAGCAAGGCTAGTGCTCTACCACTTGAGCCACAGAGCGACTTCTAGTTTTCTGGTGGTTAATTGGAGATAAGAGTCTCATGGACTTTCCTGCTCAGGCTGGCTTTGAACCGCAATCCTCAGATCTCAGCCTCCTGAGTAGCTAGGATTACAAGTGTGAGTCACTGGCACCTGCTATTTTTTTGCCAGTCCTGGGGCTTGAATTCAGGGCCTGGGCACTGTCCCTGAGCTGCTTTTTGCTCAAGGCTAATACTCTACCACTTGAACCACAGCACCACTTGTGGCTATTTCTGTTTATGTGGTACTGGTGAATGGAACCAAGGCTTCATGCATGCTAGGAAAGCACTCTACCATTAAGCCACATTCCTAGCCTACAGGTTTTCTTTTTTTTAAGTGATCAGTTAGAGATAAGACTCTATGGACTTTTCTTCTTTGGCCTGGCTTTTAGCCTCCATTCTCAGATTTCAGTTCCTTAGTAGTGAGGATTACAGATGTAAACCATCAGAACCTGCTTTATACTTGTGCTTTTTTCATATTTTTGATTAATATATGTTGTTTACAAAGGAATTTCACTGTGATATTTGCATGTAAGGGCATAGTGTACCTCAATCAAATGTACTTTTCCTATATTCTCTCCGTCCTCCTTAAAACAAGTCCAGTAGGTTTCATTGTTCAGTTTTCACACTTGTGTGTAAAATACTTCAATCATGTTTATCTCCCCCATATCCTCTCCTTTGATCCTTCCCCCTTTCGGCTTGTACCTAATCCCAAACAATTTGTTTTACATACCTATCATTCATGGAGAGAGCTTTGATATTTGCCTTTCTCAGTCTGTCTTACTGCATTTAACATAATAATCTCTAGTTCCATTGTAGTTTATTCTTGACATGTGACCAAGCGTAGATCCAGAGAAAGGATGGGAAATGCAATCTTTGGGAGGTCTCTGAAATCCTGACTTGGAAGGCTGATATCTAGGACCAAATAGTTTGTGCATTTTCCTTGAGGGAATATACCCTCAGTAGGAAAGGTCAGCTGGTCTCATAGAGCAGACTGTACCATGTAGCTCAAACCTGAAGACTGGACCGAGACTGACAGGGCCAGTGGAATAACTATTGCCAAGAGGTAAGAATAGCCTTGGGTATGAGTGAGTGAATTTCTGGAATGAGCCATGGAAATGATGTCCTCCTTATATAGTCCCATCTGTTCTTGTCTTTCCCAGATCTGGTTCCCAAGGAAGTTGTGGAGAAGTGGCTGGATTACCTTCGCAATGAGCTGCCAACTGTAGCTTTCAAGGCTAGCACCCAGCATCAGGTCAAAAATCTGGTAAGCCTGGGGTCAAGGGCATCTAGCCTTCTTCATTATAGTCTGAGGCCAGGGTTGGAGAGTTAATTTATCCCTTGAACTGAACCCTCCAAACTTTCAGTAATTGAATTGAGCTTTCAACTTTTGAGGGTTTGCTTTACTGAGTGGCTTTTTTTATGGCCAGTCTTGGGGCTTGAACTCAGAGCCTGGGAACTGTCCCTGAGCTTCTTTTTTGGTCAAGGCTAGCAGTCTACTACGTGAACAATAGTGCCACTTCTGGCTTTTTCTGTGTTTGTGGTACTCAGGAATTGAACCCAGGGTTTCATGCATGCTTGGCAAGTACTCTACCACTAAGCCACATTCCCAGCCCTGAGTGGCTTCTTTTTATTTTGGGGGGGCTTGAACTTTGGGTCTGGGTGCTGCCCCTGAGCTCTTCAGCTTAAGGCAAGCATTCTACCACTTGAACCACAGCGCCAATTCTATTTTCTGGTGATTAATTGGAGATAAGAGTCTCACGAACTTTCCTGCCCAGGCTGGCTTTGAACTGCGATCCTCAGATCTCGGCCTCCTGAATAGCTAGGATTACAGGAGTGGTCCACCAGTGCCTGGCTCCTGAGTGGCTTCTTAATTGTAGTTTCATTTTGTTCCTTGAATTTCTCTTCAGGACATATGTTTTTGGTTTTTGTTTTTCTTTTCAGCTGTAAGGTTAATAAATCCTATCTGCAGATTTGGAAAATACAGTTTAACTGCTTGTTAGCTTTTGAAAACAATATTTACTTGCATTAATTTTTCTCTCTAAACAAGTCATAGCTGCTGGGTGCCAGTGGCTCATGCCTGTAATCTCAGCTACTCAGAGATTGAGATCTGAAGATGGCCATTTAAGCCAACCCAGGCAGTTTGTAGTCATCCTGGACAGGGAAGTTCAATAGATACGTTCTCCAAAATAACCAGCAAGAAGCAGGGCTGATGGGGTGGCTTAACTGCTAAAGTGTCAGTCTAACAAGCATGAAGGCATGGGTTCAGAGACCCTAGTCTAAAAAAGATGCATTGTATGCATAAATGGCAAAAGGAATTCAATACCTAAAAAATTAAGAAGAATGAGGTGTGTTGGGAACGGTGGATGAGAATGTTGAAAGGGGTGACAGTGATCTAGGCACAGAATTGCTTTGTTGAATGGCACTTTCTTTTGTACAGGTACTTAAAGATAATAAAAATATTAAAAATTATAGTACTTCCTAATGGTATTATTAATATAGAGATATTTTCCAGTAGGATGCAGGCTCAGTGGTAATAGCACCTGCCTAACAATTGCAAGACCCTGAGTTCTAGCTATGGTACTTAAAAAAATCTATGTGAACTATACCTTAGTTTCTAGTTTCCAGTTTTTCTTATTGATTGGGTTGATTTTGCTCAGATGGGGGCTTGAAGTATAGGCCTCTTACTCAGTTTTTTCTGCTCATAGTTGGTGCTTTATCCACTTGCACCACACTACCACTTCTAGCTCTTTTTTTCTGGTTAGAGAAAAGAGTCTCCCAGATTTGTCTGCCCTGGTTGGCTTCAAACCTTGATTCTCAGATATCAGTTAGTATTATAGGCTTGAGCCACTGGTTCCTGGCTCAGTTTCTCATTATTATAACCAGTGTGTCCACAGATGCTATTGTGGATGGCTCCTTGGTATGTATGTGAACAGATGTTGGTGTAGGAATGGAGTGGCAGACACTGACAATTGCTCTTCATAATGGCTATACAATTTAGCCTTCTTCCAGTGGGACAAATGAATGTGTTGAGGCAGTCTCTTTACATCCTTGCCAATACTTGATGGCATTTAACATTTTTTCCTGTAGACACACCCAATTTTATTACCAGTGGCATGTGATTGATTTCCTCTCAACTCAACATTTTCCAAACTGAAATCCTATATTAATAGGATCAGTCTACATTGAATTTATTTAGATAGCATTACTGTTTAAACCTTTGAGAAACATGATATCTCATTTATAAATGTTTGATCTTCTTTCTGCAGTGGTGGGGATAATAAACACATGACCATTGTACATGCTAGGCAAGTGTTCTGTCTCTGAATTTCACATACCACCTCAATTTTGATCCTTTTTGGTGATAAAGATAAAAACATCCTTTTTTGTTTTTGTTTCTTTTTTAACTTTTTATTTTTTATTTTTGGGTCCGGTCGTGGGGCCTGAGCTCTGGGCCTGGGTGCTGTCCCTCAGCTCTTCAGCTCAAGCCTAGCACTCTACCACTTGAGCCACAGCTCCACTTCCGGCTTTTTTTTACAGCTTATGTGGTGCTGAGGAATTGAACCCAGGGCCTCATGCATGCAAGGCAAGCACTCTACCACTGAGCCACCTTCCCAGCCCCTTCACTGGTTATTTTTAAGAAAAGGTCTCACTTCCTGCCTGGGTGCACACCTAGGCTGTGTTCTGCCTAGACTTCCCATGGTTGCTGCAATGGCTAGCGCATGCCATTACATTAAACTTTGCTCCATTCAAATGGAGTCTCACAGACTTTTTTTTTGGTCCGGTCGTGGGGCCTGAACTCTGGGCCTGGGTGCTGTCCCTCAGCTCTTCAGCTCAAGGCTAGCGCTCTACCACTTGAGCCACAGCGCCACTTCT